AGTGATAGATGTGACAATGAGCACTGTGCAGAGAGCCAGTCCAGGCTGCCCTCCTCGTCTCTGCCTTTTACTACCTGGATGAGCTTGAGCAAGTCATCAGCCTCTCTGATGAAACCTTCCTTTGTTTTGCGATTACTAGAAATGAAGACGAAAAAGTATCCAGGTGTTCAGAAGTAGCAACTGCTATTATTATGTTTTCATTAAGCCACAGTTCTGGGTATGCTTTTATCAAATTAATCTGGTACATTCTATAGTGAAACCAAGGAATCTAGAAAATGTGGTTGCTTTATTGCTTTATCTATGGACATATGAATGTTTGATGTTTTGGACTTGAAATCAGAGTTTGAAGTATTCAATTAATTTCTTCCCCTGAAAAAAAAATGTAGTCTTTTGGGTTTAGGGCCTGCTTTATCAAAAATCTAAAGAGTTTATCACCCTTTCATTATAATATTAAGAATAATGGTACTGATTGTAACCTTTTTAAAAAAGTATTTCTTTAAAATATAGAGAGTTTAACTAAGACACAGCCCTTTGAAAAACCTATACTATATACTACATACTCAGATTATGTTTACTATGGTAATAATCCTTCAAAAGGGAACAGTAGGTCTAGAAATCATGATGAAGCCATCAACGCCAGAAATAACATTCCTGTTCTTGAGGCCATGATACAGAACACGCCGAAAAGATCTTCATGTCTGCCTTGATCTTGCATTCTCTGGTGAGATAACTGTTAAATTTCTGGAGTTTTTTCTGTGAACACCTGAGCAATTTCTCTCCTGTTCACTTACCCTTTACACACCAGATTCCAAGATAGAACATGAATCCTTTTAAATGTCTTAACAATCTCCAGAGGGTTGTGCTTAAGCACTCAAAACTCAAAAAAAAATTTTTTTCTTCAGATTTAAAGATAACCCATTTTTGTGTTGAAGAACTCAGCAACCATGTCTCCACTGATCAAGTTAAATGGACAAGCAGACAACCCAAGAAAGGGCATAACTTTCTTTTCCTCAAAGTATGCTTTTTAAATACCCATTGGATATGGGGAATTTTCACCTCTCTTAAAAGTTTAAAGGAAATATGTAGCCAGATAATCTCACAAGTTTGCTAAGTCTTAAATTGCTTATCCACACTAGACTAAGTCATACAATGATTTTAATGAAGAGAATGTCACTTGATTTCTGTGGTTCCATTGTTTTCCTTACTCAGAGTTTGGCGAAAAAGACAGTGTCTGTCTCCACTTACCATCTGTTATCTATTTAATGCACCATTATTCCACACTCCCTGGTCCTTATCAAATCCAAAAGTTGAATACAAAGCAGTAAAAGTAAATGACTTCTCACTTCATACTGTGGAATCCATCCCCACCTGGATTGGTCTACATCCATAATATGAAACCAGAATATGTGCTGGGCCTAGATAATTGCATTCAGGTTGGACCACATCCCTGTTTAAGCTCAATCTATCAGTTACCTGGGGCCAATAAAACCTGTACCTCCAGAGTTAGGCCTGAAACAGTGTGGTCTTAAAAAATTGGAAAAAAAAAAAAAAGCCAAGAGTAGTTTTCTGTAGTGATTTGTCCTCCCTGTCGTTGGAGAAGATTTGAGGACTTGGGGGACACTGGTAAATAGCAGTTCACAGTAGCGGGGATTTAACGTGGGCGTTATCTGACTAGCCTGTAGCCGAAGCAAGGGAGAACATGGAGGGATCCGTTCCCCTTCTCGGAGCTGATCCCATTCCAAGGCAGTGCTCCGGGCATGTGCCGGGAGGCTGCGCCCAGCCTTGTCCACAGCCTTATGCAGCTGTGGAGTTTGGAAGAGCATTGCAGGACTGCTGGATCAGTCCCAGAATGTCAACCTCATTTTCAGTTTACTGGCTCTTGTTGCTTTATGTCACGCTGACCTTACTGTTAAACACACGTTTGTTTGCTTTCGTTCCCCTCATGGAGAGATGGGGAAAGCATTACTTTTTAGCCAGTTGAAAGCTCCAACTGACAAAGGACTTTCAGAGAAATGTGAATTAAGCAGCTAAGAAAGCTTACCCTGTCCATTGTT